TGAGAAATGAATTTTCTGCTTGTGATTTTCCGTCTGTCGAAGACTATGCAGGTCACTTCTCACTGTTCAGCTCTTACAGAAACAATATTGTATTCCTTATGCCAATTGTTAGCTGGGGAGGAACAGAAGAGGTGCTGTCTTTGGAGGTTCTTGGCACTTTGGCATATGCTTGTCACACAGACTTGATGCTGCAGCAACAAATAAATATTAGCTCAATATTCAAGAGTATGATTCTGCCATCTGTAAGAGGAGTAGGCCTCCAGTTTGTTTGTAGGGGCAATTTGCTGTGTTGATTTTTAACAGGCAGGGCTTTCATGCATGGAGTTGAACCTCAACTACAACTGCTGAAATCACGTGGGACTCTGACATTCCTATATTAGTTCTTAATTGTGGAATTTGCTGCTCTTGCTTCTCCAGTGGAATGCAAGATTTTTGACCTTCAGGGCTCACTGTGAGGCCTATCTCTTCTTTTAGGCAAAAAAAGGATTAGGTAGGAAGGGGGAGTTATTAGGAGCAGGTGAGGGATTTTATATATTTTTTAACTTGACATTGTGTCATTCTTGGCACATACTATCCAGTAAAATAATGGGTGAGAATTCATGGGTAATCATTCATGCAATTGCAGTGCCAAGAGCCTCATGTGATAATCCAAAAACTGAAGAATTTAGAAGTATCCATTTAATTTGACTCTAGTCCCCATACTAAGTTGATGAATTAGTGAGTGTTGCTTGAGGAGGCAGTGCTTTGGACATAGAATGTGGCTGAGCATTTGACACAGAAGAGGGACCACAGAGAATGATTTTCCTGTGCAAACTTTAATGAAGATAAGGAGAGAGCAATGCATAACTCAGTCATGTACAGCAGTCAACAGGGATTTTGCTTTTCACTGCATTTGTATGGTTTTCAGTCCCTGTGTCTTTAATAATTTACATTGCTGAAAAGCTTTTTAGAACTGCACATGCAGACATTTTTCTATTGGAGCACCACCAAAAAGTCTGTGTAAGCACAATATGCAGGGAAAAACATGTCTTGAAAATATTACCCTGCACAGGAGAAAAAAAATCCAAAAGCCCAAACCAAAACAAAACCCGAATTCTGACCTTTTCTGGGGTCATGAAGCTGTTAATATTAGGGCCTTCTCCTTCTTATTATTTTTTATTTACTTAAAGGACAAGTGTAAAACAATCAGCCTAGAAGCAGAATGAAAGATGGTAGGAATAATATAACCTCCAGAACAACACATATGTAACATTTCTTATCTCTTTCCTGTTCATGCTTCCTCGGTTGTCTCCATGTAGTGCAGTTAGCACTGAAACTCCCATTTTTATAAAGGGTTACTTTTTGTTCCAAAAAAGACAACATTTTGACTCAATAAGGTTATTTTATGCTCTGCTGTGAGATTTGTAGTTCTCCCCCACCTCTGCTGTTAGCTAAAGCTGCTTTGTAATACATTAAATGATACAACACAAAAGATCTAATAGAATTTGAAATAGCTTGGGTTCTTAGAAACATGTAAAACTCTGCATAAAATGAATATTGCTAAAGCTCAGTCTGATTTCCATATTCTTTCCACATTGTATTTGTGTATAATAGGCTTCCAGGAATGTTCATGACCTTACAGCTGTCCCTTTTGTTTACAGTCCAGTGCTCTGTCCTTGAGATATGTTGCACACAGAATGAAGACAAAATCATGGCTTCAGGCCTCTGTCTCCCTTCTCTGGAAAAAATAAATAAAGCCCATATAGGAGACATTCTCCAGTCAGTACTGTTCTAGCTACATGTGAGTGATTACACCCTGGGAAACAATTATAGATGGTAATAAAAAAAATTAAGCTCTAAGGGCAATACAGTTTTTCACAGGAACTTCCAGGGAAAAGCCTGCTTTGGGTTTGTTTTCTTTTGGTTTGTTTTTTTTTTTTTTGGTTGTTTGATTGATTGGTTTGTTTGGGGTTTTTTAATTACCAAACCCACTTATTTTTCTCACTTAAAAAATAAAAATGGACAGATCCATTTCCTAACAGTTTGACTTGATATTTTACACGATCCTTTTCTTTTTGAAGAGACTGTGTCTTGCTCTCACACAAGCAGCCTGCTTCTTGTTTGCTGTCAGTGAGCAAACAATCACTGCACATTTACAATAGCACTTCAGCAGCATAATGGTGATGGCAATGTTTGGTTTCTTTTTGCTGCCATGCAAATTTTCATTCTCTTTGAGTAAATGTATTTTTCTGCTGATATTCTGCTTTCTGGCAGGTGCTCAAAACTTCCTTGTTCAAATGTATTTGCAGATGGCACAGCCATGGGTTCTGTGTGGTGTCTGAGTAGACAGTGCACAGCCTGGGACAAAATTACAATCACTAATTATCTTAGAAAGAAGGGCATATGTGAGATTTCAATATCAAACGCCTCGATACCAGCAGTGCTGTGCACATGCACTACCAAATGTAGCTCTGTTTAAGAAGCTTTGGGGCTGAATTTGGTGAAGTTTTTAAGTGTAGGACATGGCAGTGAGTATCCAGAACAGCTGTGCTTTTGGCTACGGCCTCCTGATGTGGAGGCTGGCCCTGAGAAATACAAACAGGGATGTGCAGGTAGAGGACCTGTGCAGTAATACTGAGAAGTGCAGTGGATTCTTTATTTTAGATTAGGGTTTTTGCTGTTTTCTTCTTTCATTAGGAAATTTACAAAATTTGTTAAACAAATGGGATGGATGCCTGATGATTATATATTGTGAAATAATTGTATGACTCAGTGCACTCCATTAATTGAGATTACAATTCAAACTTCTAGAAAATGGCCAAGTAATTGTCCACTTCCCAAGTATTTCTGAACATTCTGATCCATGCTTTTCTGTGGGGTTTGAATTTCATGCATGTTTTGTAATTGCAGGAATGTGGAACTGCTCAAGTTAATCAGCTCTTTCTGGAGACACCAAGCAGCTATTTCAAGGTGTTGTTCCATGTCTGACAGTAGTTTTATGTGTACATTCACAAGCAGCACTACTGGTGAGGATTGTTGTACAGCTCTGGTACCATTCCTGAAATTCAGCATTCAGTGGATTGTGTCTGAATTTACAGACATGACTCCAAACTTCCCCAGGATCACTTCCTATGCTCCAGGTACCACCTCTGCCATCCTCTGGAGGAGATATTCCATCTGACATCACTGCTTAAAAAGAGAGTCTTTCACTCCCCTTGCCTTAAGTTCCAGGAGCAGTTTTAACCTGCTGAGGTTCATCATCTCTTTCTCCTGTTCTTTGTCTGATGGACCAGTTTCAGTCACAAACACAGACAAGGAAGTCATCACATCCTGCAGAGGGATTTTAAGAGAAAATCCCCTTTGCTTTAGCATGAAAAATTGGCATATCCATATAGAACACTCACCTCTCCCCTGACATTTTCTGTGGCTGTTCTAAGTGCTTGCAGTTATTCTTTAGGATTTGGGTATATGTCCTGCCAGGATTTGTGAGTTCCTTCTCTTTAAGTACCTCTTTAGCTAAGGCCCTGCCCTTCAAACATAGAGTGGCACTCTGACCTTTCCAGTCAGCTTCTTTCAATGTCAGGAGTTCTACAGATTAAAAAACACTTTTCTCCTCATAGGAAAACTCTCCTTTTAAGTTTTTTTCTTGGTCCCTCCTCAACTTCAAGTAGCATTCATAAACAGTATGTTATTGGATTTCCCAAATTATCAGACACTCTTCCTATTATTTACTGGGTAAATAAGTACATGTATATTACATTTAAATGAGTAAAAATACAGTCCTTTTCCAAAACAACTGAAGTGACCTAAAAAATAACAGTGGGACATAAAACCACAAGCAAAAATGTCAGTCGGACAGAATAGAAAGTCCTGTCATTTGTAGTTCACCTGTATCACGTCATCTAATTTTTCTTAATAGTTTAAATAACTACATGTGTGTGTGAATTTTATATGCTGAGATAAAAACACCAAGAATTTTGTCTTAGATGAGCTTTTTTTAAGGGATAATACTATGTTTTGTCAGGTGCTGTGGTTAACAACATTATCTTCATGTTTTTCATCTTTCTCTTAATTCATACAGTGGCACTCTGGTTTTACTGCCTTTCTCCCTTGTGTGAGGACAGGACATTCACTTCCACATACCACATTGCTTGAAAATAATAGTGATAAGGCACATGAACTGTAAAGATATCTCCCTTGAGGTCTTGAAGGGAAGCTCTGGGAAATTTTAGGGTGGATGTCAAGACAGATCCACACTGTATGTACATGGGGGGGAATTACTGTCATGTGAGCCTGTGGAGCTTTAGCACAACACTTCATAATGCCACAATGGGTCCTAGCAGCTGATGCAGAACCTCTGAAGCTAAACAAAAACATGGAAAGGAAGAAAAATCAAATAGTGAGGAAAGCATCTTGGGCAAAAGGCTAATAATGAAGATCCATAGCATTCTTGCTTTCCAGTGGCTCTGCCAAGCTGTGGTGTAAAGGACTAGAAAGACCCAAATTCATGTTTCAGAGAGCAGGTTTTGAAAAAGTTTTCTTCTTCTGTAAACTGGGCAGTATGTTAGAGTCCAGTTCTTGCTGCCACAGAACTCAGAGTCAGTGTTGGAATGAGATCTTGCTGTGTGACTTTGAAATGCCTTCGAAATACCCTAATACATAGAAATATACTCCAAAGCAAATGAAGATGCTGCTTTCCTTGGAATCCTGGTTATTAGCAGTCTTATAGTGAGTGTAGGTAGGAGGTTCCTCAAATGGCAGAAAGACTAATTACATCCTCTTCGTTGTCTCCAATATTCTCCTACAGAAGGTGCAAAGATGTAGGCAGACAGTTTGTGGTAATTGGGAGTGGGGCTGGCCCAGCCTCATCCCTAATGGGCTACAGCTGGGAGCAGCAGGTGAGCAGCATTGAGAGCAATGAGTGCCCAGTGCACTGACCAACCACCAAAGGGAGCAGAGGGCACACAGGTGCAGTGCATCAACAGGAGGGGATAAAAGGCTGGGCAAAGAACAAGCAGGGCAGAAGTTTGAAGCCTTCTGAGGTGGTGTGGTGTTACTCTGTGTAGCATGGCTGGCTCAACTGTGGCATATGCTGAGACACAAAGAGGTATTAGATCTGATTTATAAATGATCTTTGTAAAATATGTATCTATATTTATAAGGAGTACAAGGATCTATCCTTTCCCTACTGAGCTGAACACCTTTTATTCTCATTATGAATTTATTAGTCGTGCAGGATGTTCAGCAGTACAGAAGAATGTTCTTTTTATCAAACAGTGTTCTGGTAACTTCTGTCTTTGTTCTAAGGGAAAATACTGCTCCTCAGTTTTGGAATACAGCTCAGTGAGAAATGTTGAAAGGTAGATATCCGTGAGATATGCTACTGGCACAGGTGGAAGCTGGAGGTGGTTTAGGGATGCACTGTCAGTGTTGTTCCACAAATTCATTCATGGGGTGGTTCCAGCAGCATTCTCAGACTAACAAGCTCAAGGGTGTGGGTATCAGCCTGGACCCTCCTCACTTACAGTTAATTGGAAAGATGGAAGTTTATTTTTTCCTAGCAAAGGCATCTGGTTGAGGTAGAGATCTGTTGTCTCCTACTTTCCTTTCTCAAGGTATTTTGGCACAACTTAGCCTGAGCTGAGATAAATTACATAGTTAGGGCTCAGATTGTCAATTAGCATTTTCATTCCACAAAAGTAGTTGAAAACAAACAAGCTAAAAATTGTATTTTTCTCCATATTCACCATACAAGTAAGGAACTGCAAAAGCTTGGTTAACTTTAGAAGCCAAATTATGCATAAACCTCTGTAGCTGTTTCTGTCAAAGGAGAAAATGGAAACTAGAAAACAGCAGCATTTTTGAGGCCAGCATAAGGATGCTTAGGATGCTGGAAAAAAAGAATAATGGACACATTTGTCATAAGCTGGAAAATAGATTTAGTGTTTATAACATGACTAAGGTAAACAAACAAGATCAAACAAGAGCTGAGCAGGCTTCTGTGTAACCCAATGCCACATGAGGTGCAACTGCTGAAAGGAATCTGTGAGAGGGGAAACGAAACTGAGCAGACGAGACAGACGGCATAGTCTGAGTTCAGCGCTTTCTGATGACACTGAAGATTTGCACTTGTTTTGGCAGCTGATTTGGTGTTTTCCCCTATTGAAAATGAGCTGGGGAAGTGCATTGTATGCATCTCTTGCATCTCTGGTGTCAGTCTGCAGATTCTAGATGAAACATGTTCTTGGCAAACAAATAATGTCCAGCTCTTTGTGCACAGTGACTCACCAGGGTGGGAGTTAGGAACAGAGTTAAGAGGTGGGGTGTTTGTATTTTTATGGAAAATGTCTCAGAGTTGGTATTTGATATTTTGCTTTTGTGGTTGCTTGCTTATTTAGCAGAGTAAATTTGCTTTTTCTTCTTTTCTTTTGTTTGCCTTCTGCAGTTTTTCTGTCTGATGAACTGTATGATATGTTTAAATGTGGACAGCACTAACTGATTGGTATTATATTCTGATATTTTCAGCTAGCAGTAAGCATAAGGGGATGTTATTCTGCAGTACACTGAGTACATGCATACATTGAAAAGTTTCTAGCACACTGTAATATGGCTTTTTATTTTTGTTGTATGTAACTTTCTCACATAAAAGAGCTCTCATTCAACTTCTTGCCATACCCAGAAGTACAGTACTACTTTGACAGTCAGGGAAATGTCATAAAAAGCACTGCTGACATGCAAATGTATTGGATGGAAGCGATAGGCACAGGAACTATCTCGATTTTCAGCATTTATTTTTCTATAATATAACTTTTAGGTGTTCCCAAGCGTATTTCCTGTCTTCCCTGTGTGGTCACAGTTCTGTCACTCAGGTTTAGCTTTCTGGCATTTTTTGAACCCTGGAAGTCTTATCACTCTGGTCTAAAATTGTCCTTGCAAGGAATATATGACTCTTTTACATGTTTATTCCTGTAAGTGGAAAATTGATTACAGCAAAGTCTGCAATCATAAGGTCAGATTTCAAGATAAAAGTCGGGAATTATCAGGAAATTCTGTGGTCTTCTTTCTGCTTTATCATATATATGGCCTAGGGAAGCACAAATATGATATCGATAATGTTCTTAGTACATCGTTAATGCTCTTATAACCTGCTAATTTTCTGATATGCCAAATACATGCAAAGCATAGTAAGATCTGAGTTGCAGGGATTGTTCTTTACTACCCTTTGGTATTTAGGCAAGGATCTGTATAAGTCATCATAGTAGCTTTACATTGGTCAGTTTATATTTGATGAAAGCTAAAAATATTTTTCTAGTCCTTATCTGTAACACTGTAGTCAGGAGACGCTATTTTTACAGAAGAAAGGGCCATTGATCGTGTTTAAATATCATCATAGCAAAAAGCAGTCAAAACAGAGCCTACTGAAAACTGCCTTCCAGGAACACAGGAGGAAAAACTGGTGACACAAATCCCTCCTCTGGTACCTTTGTGCTGGATTTGCAGCATTGTAGAATATATTCACTTTACTCTGCTCAGCAGCACAGCCCTGTATCCTGACAGCTGAGTAATGTTCTGCTCACGTCTTCCCTTGTAAAATGAAAAAAGTAGATAATTTAATATAGATGTGACAAGTGCAAGATAGATTTCTACCCAGCACTGTTCACTGCTGAAAACCTTCTTTAAGGACAGCCACATTCCTAAATTCTCCTCCCCCCACCTCCCCATTTTCCCTTGCCCTAATTAAACACAATACAGAGAAAACTAAAACCTAAATTTATTCTTTGATCATTTCAGTATGAAAAATCTCTTCTGTCTCCTGTTCCACAAAATAAACCAGTGTCTGTTATTTCTGCCAAAGAACAGCCTTTCTGTGAGACATATGCGATACAATGTATATACATTTCCAGTGCAGATATTTTTGGTCCATCACTGATTTTCTTAGAGTTTTTACTCTTTCCTGAATCACAGATGCAGTTTACTGCTACTTCTTGTGGCCACTGTGGTTGCGGGGCCAAATTAAGGTTATTGCCTTCTGAGGCAAAGCATGGCAAATTCTTTCAATCCAAATTACATTTCTGAGTTTGGCAGGGTTTTTGCTTGGATTACACCTGCTTTTTAAAACAAACACATTGGACAGTCCCCATACAACATGTGCATTAGACATACACAGCATCGTTGGGCTGTCCTGGTGCTGCAGTAGAGGTGTTATATCCTGGTTTCTGGTCTTCAACCCCTTTCTGTCCCCCTCCAGCATCAGTGCTGTCTGCTGCTCCAGAGCAGTGCCTTGGTGCTGGAGGCAAGCTCTGCTGCTCCTCTGTCCCTCTCAGCCAGCGAGGCACCTTCTTGTCTCCAGGACAGCTCAGAAGTGAAGCAGAGCTGTTGCTGGTGTGGGAAGTCTGTAAAGTCTTTGAGGGATGAGGTTGTGTTGAGGTGAGCAGAGTTTAACAAGGGACCCAGCACCGCTGTGGAAGAAGCTGCGTCCTCGGTAACAGCAAAAGCAGATTGAATTGGGAAAGGTAGAGGTTAGCATGGGATTCAGCGCTTCTAAATCCCACTGAGCTTTTTCCAAAGTCTTTAATACCATCATGGATTTGTTTGTGTTCTTATACTGTCTCTCAAAGTCAGTGTTGTGAAAGATCCAAATGGTTGTGACCCATCACTTATTTGATTTTATAGTACATATTTTTGATTAAGGTTATCCAGTAGCAGAACTTGAAATTTTGGGACATTGCTTCAGACACTTTAATTCTCAGTGCTTGAGAATTGGGGTTTTTTTGTGAAATTGAGAGCGGATTCACCACGAAGCTCAATGGGTGAAATGTTAGCTTACTACCAAACATTAAATACCTACATGTTTGCTGCCATTCACCAGAGTGTACCTTTCAACCTGGAGTTTTAAATGCAAAATTATCTATGTCAAAGGAGTAACTTTTCTCCTATGCACTTGATGTGGTACATATACACTGCTTCTGTGAGATGCACCATGCTCAAATGTCCCCACACCAAGTAAGGAATACAAATTAAAAGACTGAGTACAAAAGACCTCTCTTCATGTTTTCACCAGTATCCAGCTTAGAAATTATTCAAACGCACTAGTTAAGGAAAAAAACTAATCTCTTCAAACTAAAAGGAATATTTTAATCTAAAAACAATTTTAATAGCTTTAAAAATTCATAAAGATTGACTGTTTGCCCAAACTTGTAGTGCTGTTCTATTGACTCTCTGCTCAGCCCTGCACAGATGGTAACTCCCATTCACTTTGATGGGAGATTTGCCTGGGGTAGGACTGCAGAACTGATGCCCAGGATGTTAATTAAATGTACAGTCAGCTGGCCAAAAAGTAGCTGGTTGAATCATAAGGACAGCTCTTCCTGGCTTACCTAAGAATACATCTTAGCATATAATTAAACCACAAAAACTGACATCAAAGTAATGATAAGGGCCTAATGTAATGCAAGTAACTGAGGAAATTCAGGCCAACATTCCTTCCTTTGATCACACAGCTGGGCCAGGCTAGTACACAAGTCTGGGTCTGGATACTCCCTTTCTCCAGCACTGGTAGAGGTGAAGGAGGTAAAACTGATGGAACTGGCTAGATTGGATGAAGTGGTTGGGAGGTAATAGCTTTTGTTGCACATACCTGCAGAATCCCTGCACAATTAGAAGGTGGGAACAGGAATCTTTAGGTATAAGATTTTTCCATGGTGTGAAGAAATGCTCAGAGACAGCATACTTTTATAACTTGATCTCCATATTTCACACTGCTCCAAACTCCACGAATTTCTGTATCAGCTCAATGGGGTTTTTCCCCTTGGATGTGATTGCTTTACAGTGGGTGAAAGTTGGGGCAAGTGAAGGGGTAACGCCCCTGGGTGCAGAATTGCTCAGGAAGGGCTCTTTGCAGGTGCAAAGCTACTAGAAGCTTAGGAACTGTGTTTCTATCCCATATCTCTTGAAGCTGTAAGTCTTAACTTTACAGATGTTTTAACTCATTCTTGTTTCACTTAACATTGTCTTAAGCTGGAAAAACAAGATCTAGAAAAGACTTACTACTCAGTATTATCAAAATGAGCTGGGAAAACAAAGTTGAAGAATAGTTAGCAATGCTTT